GTGGCAGCAGTCACCGTAGCAGGGGATAATGGCTTTTTCTTCAGGGAAGTAAGATCTGAGGCATCTTCAGAAAGTCAAGGATGCAGCTCCCTGTAAAAGCAAAGCCTCTGGCGGGGTGAAGGCTGAGGCGTTTGATAACGGGCACAGCCACAAGCAGCTGAACTCTTAAGGGGCAGCTCCTTAATTATCATCACTGATGCCAGAGAACTTGTGTGCCGCCCTGCTCCAGGCAGGTTAGCAAGGAGTTATCACCGCTGAAAGAAGGGTAGACATGAGATGCCCCGTGAGGTTACGCAGCAGGTCTTGGGCTGGGGTAAGTGCATAATCCAGGCGTCATGAATCTCATCTGTTCCCCTTTCCTGTAACCACTAGACTTCATTCTCTACCCAAACTGGAAATATTGCTCAGGAGTCCTGGCTTCACCCCCTCACTTGCTCTGTCAGACCCACCTCCCCTCTGATTTAGCGTCTCTCCTTGGTATCTCCCCAACTCGAAGTATCCCTGTTTCCTGAGTCACCGTCCCCTAGCACCTCCCTTGGTGCTGCTCACGCATTATCCGGTGAGATCTCTTTTGCGCCATCTGTGCTGGCTTTCCTGACCTTGCTAGGCTGAGTGAGTTGGCCAGTGCCTAAAACATGCTGAGCAACTGCTCCCCCACCATAAAAAGCCCCAAGGAAGCCCAGAGCCGGTGACACCATGCCTGCAAAGAGGAGACCTGAGCCAAGGCAGTAGGACTGGATCACACCAGGGACCTGTGTCTGTATCTGCCTCCTCTGCCCATTGCATCCTGGGCCAGCGTTGAGCCGGCAATCTGTTCCTGGAATCAGGCTGTGTGTTTGAACTGCACGAGGTCCCTGCTCTCTCCTCCCTCCCTCCCTCCCCCCCCACCCCTGGCCTGGCCTGTGGGTTTTGTTAAATGTTATATAAACTCTTGTCAATGCTCCATTCAGTGCCTGCTGAACCTGGCTTTTTACAGTTGAGGTTACAGGTGACCTTTCCTTGTCTCCCAGGAGAGCGAGGCAGACGGGTTTTGGGCGTCAGCAGATCCTCTGCCGCCCAGGCCCAGCCGGGGGTCAGGCGGGGAGGTGGGGGGGAGAGAGGAAAGGGGGCCACACCCCATCTGGCAACTGGGACTGAAGCTTGCAGGAGGGAGGTGAGCAAACTGGGGAGGGGAGATCATGGCTATGGTACGGCCACAAGTCCAGTAGCTCCCCAGACCTGCCTCCCTCTGCCTTCTCTCCTGCTCCCACCTCTGGGGCAGAAAGCATGTAAAGTCTGCCTCGGTCATCAACACTCAAAGTGGCTCATGGGCACTTCCTCCAGGGCTGGCCCCATGCTTTTCCCACTGTACCATGCCACTGGCTAAAGACCCCCCCAGGGCCACACATTGAAATGGAGACAGCAGCTGGCATTGCTGCCGCCACCAGGACCCTGGCTCCTTCCCCCCTCCCTGTGCTCTCCATTGCTGGGCACAAACCATATTCCAGTTACGAGTGTGCAGAGAGGCCTGTGACCACAATCATCCCCTCCGTGTTCCCATCTCCCTGCTTGCGTAGGGGCAGGGCCCTATGGAGCATCCTCTAGAGATGGTCCCTGTCAACTGGGCAGCAGGATAAAGTGCTGCTGCCCGGTATCGCAGGCACTTGGGCAGGACCCGGGTCCATGCTGAGCTCTCTCCAGGAGGAGAGTCGGGTGTATCATTTGGTCCAGTCCTGTTTATTTCCAGGGACTGTCCCAAATCCCATCTCCCTGAATATCACAGAACTGCCAGCTTTTCTGCTCTCAGCTCACAACTCAAGCCCCTCAGCCACAAAAGAGGCCAAATTGTGGCAGTGGTGGGATACTATAATAGCGAATGACCAGCAGGCTGTGTGCTCGCAGTTTCCCCACCTGCCTTTCCAGCCAGCCTCGAGCGCCACGGAGCCCTGTCTTAGCTCTCTCTCAGAGCCATATTCTTGCTGCTTTCTGTCTCTAGCGCCCCTACCACACAGCCAGCTGTGCTGAAGCAGTGCCTCCACTCCCACATTTGCAGGCAGTCCCCAGGGAAGCTCCTCTAATCCTCCCAGAGTCCAGTCCTGCTCCAACATCCTTGTGTGATCCAGTGTCTTAGGCAATGGTTTCAGTCATTGCATTGCATAAAGGCCTCGCTTCTGCCACATAGGCTGAGTGAAGCCCAGCTAGCAGGTGTCAGCTTTAATGAGGTCTTGATGCTTGAATGAAGATTGCCTGTAGATCAGGGACACACCTGCTGGGAGCTATTAACACTTCCCAGTACGATGGTTCAGTGGCGAGCTGGTCACGCAGGGACAGCTGGGTCTGAACGCGCCATCATGGGGCTGTGATGAACCAGTGAGTCTAGCCTCGAGGCTAAGTCCTGGGGTGAGCTGAGCTGCCTGAGAGAGGGGGACTGGGTGACTGATTAGCCGTGTCCTTGTGGGTCACTCTCTGTCTGTAGGGCTGGGTGAGGCTGCTGCTCTGGCTCCCTGGGGGGGAGCATTGGGACAGCTGTCCCGGGCAGACGTGATGCCTCCAGCATCCAGATGTGCCCTCTGCCCAGCTTGAGCATAAAGCGGCTGGCTTTGTGTGAGCCAGCCTGTGGGGAGGCACTGCCCTCACCAGGGTCAGGGGTGCTCTGTGCTCACAAAGCAGCTGCTCTGTGGCCTGGAGGGAAAGTCTGGGGGCACAGATGCAAGGGGCAAGGAGTATGCGACCTCCACAGGGCAGGAGTTGGCCCCTGAATGTGGCTGCAAGCTGCCTGAGAGCCGGCTGCATCTTGTCAGGCTCCGAGTCGATTTGCTGGGTTAGTACAGTGACCTCCAGGTGCCTCCAGCCCTTTTCACTCCCTGGGAAAGCCCAAGCAGGGCTTGTTTCCCGTATGTGAGTCACAGCAGCTACCCCATGCAATGTGTCAGGTAGGTCTTGGCCACCCTGAGCTCTCCGAGTGCTGTGTATCCAGGGGACGTGGCCTTCCTGGCTGTGCCTCTTGTTTGTGGCAAGTGGCCAGTGTGAGGTGATGGATGCTGTCAGGCCTGGTTTGGCGAAGGAGCTCTGGACTCGGCGTCCATCACACCAGAGCAAAGCAAAAACAATCCAGGGGCGTGAGTCAGCAGCGCCCTGTTTAGTTTGCAGCGCGGACGTCCCAGACAGCAGTGTCTGCAGCTAATGCTGCCTCTGGCACATTTTCAGCACGGAGAGAGCCCAGGCGGGCCCTTCTCTGAGCTGCACCCTCCCAAGGAAACAGCCTGGAGTGTGTTAGCAGGGCTTCCTGCAGGGCCCTTCGTGACTGCTGAAGCTATTGAGCTGACCAGGGAGTCAGAGAGACAGGGCATGGCAGGATGTTAGTGAATGGGGAGAGAGTGGGATGGGCACAGGGCAAAGGGAAAGGGCCTTGATTTGTAGAGCAGTATGGAGAGAAAGATAGGAGGGCTTGGGCTGGTCCTGGTAGGGAGGCTGGAGATAGGCATAGCATGAATAAGAGGGAGTGGGACAGACATAGCAATGGCATGGGTGCCAAGGAAGGGTTGATGGTAAATGGCCTGCCAAGGAGTAAGGGCAAAATGTTTCCTTTCCATGGCAAACGTGGGTGACATGTGTCCCCAGGGAATCTTTCCCAGGCAAGCAGGAGGTGCTTGAAGGGCCTTGAAGACCCATAGGGGGAAGGATGCCTACCACATGGGTGGTAGTGGATGGGTCCTTCTCGACCTGGAAGGACGTGGGAAGTGGGGTCCCACAGGGCTCGGTCCTTGGGCCTGCACTGTTCAATATCTTCATCAGTGATTTGGATGAGGGGGTGCAAAGCACCCTGTTCAAGTTTGCTGATGACACTAAGATGTGGGGGGATGTGGGCACAATAGAGGGGAGCAACAGGCTACAGTTGGACCTAGACAGGTTACAAGGATGGGCGGAGGAGAACAGGATGGGGTTTAACACAGACAAGTGTAAGGTGATGCACCTGGGGAGGAACAATCGGCACCACACATACAGGCTGGGGAACTCCCCTCTTGTCAGCACGGAGGTGGAAAAGGATCTGGGAGTCATTATTGACTCCAAGATGAACATGAGTCGGCAATGTGGGGAGGCGGCTAGGAAGGCCAACTGCACCTTGTCGTGCATCCACAGATGCATCTCGAGCAGGTCCAAGGAGGTGATCCTCCCCCTCTATGCGGCACTGGTCAGGCCGCAGCTGGAGTACTGCGTCCAGTTCTGGGCGCCGCACTTTAAGAGGGATGTGGACAGCATCGAGAGGGTCCAGAGGAGGGCCACTCGTATGATCAAGGGACAGCAGGGTAGGTCCTATGAGGAAAGGTTGCGGGACCTGAACCTGTTCAGCCTTCAAAAGAGAAGGCTGAGGGGGGATCTTGTGGCCTGTTATAAACTGGTTAGGGGGGATCAGCAGGCGCTGGGGGAGTCCCTGTTCCCCCGAGCGCCGCAAGGAGTGACCAGGAACAATGGTCACAAGCTGGCGGAGGGAAGGTTTAAGTTGGACATCAGGAGGCGCTACTTCACGGTCAGGGCGGCTAGGGTCTGGAACCAGCTTCCAAGTGAGGTGGTGCAGGCTCCCACGCTGGGGGTTTTTAAGAGGAGGTTGGACGACCACCTTACTGGGGTCATTTGACCACGGTGCTCTTCCTGCCATGGCAGGGGACCGGACTAGATGATCTACTCGGGTCCCTTCCGACCCTAGAAACTATGAAACTAGGGAAGGTTCACTGTCCTGAAGACTGCTCCTTGGGCTGACATCCTCCATGGCACAGTCCAGGGCTGCTGATGCATCTCCCTCAGAGCCTGCTGAAAGCACAGATTTTCATGGGGGGTGGGGGAGCCTGGTGTGGTCTCTGCCCAGCGATCACTTTATCTGCCCCCAGCCCCTGCCGAGTTAGCGGCTGCCTTGTATTTAGCCCCAACAAGCAGGAGAGCACCTCCCCTATCATCTCTAGGTCTCAGCCCTGGCCCTGCAGAGGGAGCTGTGGAGCTTTTATGTGCTTTCTTCTCTCTTTTAGAAGGAATGAACTGCATGAACAAGAACCATGGCTGTGCCCACATCTGCCGGGAGACCCCCAAGGGGGGCATCGCCTGCGAGTGCCGGCCGGGCTTTGAGCTCACCAAGAATCAGCGGGACTGCAAATGTAAGAACATGGCGCCCAGCAGCACCTGGCATCTGCTCCAGTGGACAGGAGCCCTGCCTCCTATCCCCCTCCCCACCCCTTTTTGTGGGTCTTTAGGCCTTGACGCTACTTCATGGCACCCACTTCTTTTATAATAATACACGGCCTCCAGACTCCTGTCCCCTGCTCTAGACCATGTGCTCCTCCTAGCTCGGGGACTGAACCTGAGCCCCCTGGCTCCCATACCCCCTGCATCAAGCACAAGTTTCATGAACCCCAAGTCTCTTTCACTGAGCACTAGACCATCTTCTTTCCCAAACCGGGAAGTTGAATCGACTCCAGGCATCCTGCTCTTGATCTCTTTTGGAACCAGCTAAAGAACCCAAGAGTTCTGATTCCCTTCCCTCACCCCCTTGCTCTAACCATTAAGATGACTTCAGCATGTCAGAGATGAAAGCCAGGGGCCGTGAATCCCGTCCTCCCATGCTCAAAGCACTGGACGAAACTTCCCAGCTCTATGAACAAAATCTCGACTTCTCCTAAAAGCTTAACAACACCCAGCTTCCAAGTGGTGGATTTCCTGGAGTTTAAGAGCTATCTCTGACCAGCCTTCTTAACTCCTCTGTTGGCTTCTGCTGCATGTCCCCCTCATCTGCATGACCAGCTGTCCAGCAGTTCACATGTGCCTTTGTGGCCAGGGCTGCACAGAGTGGGGCAACCTCTGCAGTGCCCGGGCGATTTAAAAACAGGGTCCCAAAGACCTGACACCTCCCATGTGACCTTTGCTAAGCCACCCTGCCTCCTCTTCCCACGTCCAGCAACCAGAACTCTTCAGATGAGCAGCAGAGCTTGCTCTTTTGCAACAATGCCAGGCCAGTCCTCTCCAGTATAGCTCTGCGTGGCTGTCAGGTCAGACATCTTCATGGGCTTACCCCCGGGCTGTGCTGACTGGCTAGGCCACTCTGTTTGGAAAGTGCCGTGTCTCTTGCCTTGGCACCTGAAGTGTGATTGGCACCAGAAAAACACCAAAAGCATCTCCTCAGGGAAGCGAGGCTGTCAGATGTCTGATCTCCCGCCAGGAGCTTGCTGGTGCTGCCAAGACAATTTTTTTTTTTTAAATCTTGTATTTATTTAGTTTTATTTGTTTTATTCTCTTTATTTAATCTTCACAGCAAGCACGTACAAAATGCTGATGGCATAGAGTTTTAATCCGGCCAGCAAATTCTTACTCCGGGCTAAATGTAAAGAACAACTTACCTCCTTCAGAACGGTGGAAAGGATTGTCAGAAGCACGTCATTGATTTAGGACGTTCTGGAAATCCCAGGCGGGCCCTTGACAAAGTGTTTTGTTGGTGGCCAAGCTCAGCTATGCTGGGTCAGAAGCCATAGTCCATCTAGCTCTGTCTGATGGTGACAGGTACTAGATGTCTCTCAGGGGAAGATGCAAACAACCACATGGCAGCTTTCCTCTGCTGAGCTTCTTCAGGGAAAGTCAGATTCATTTAGAAATGTCCAGCAAGAATTCCTCACATCTACTAGGTTGCCAACTTTTATTTTTGCTGGGGGAGGGCGATGAGGGCTGGGGGAAAGATGACGGACTTGTGGAAAGTTTTATGCATTTCAGGTGACAGCCCTCTTCCTGGGGGGGCAGGGTCCTCAGACCCCCACATGCTCAGCACCTCTGGTTGCTTTGATCATCTCAGCCTAAAAGTTCCTGCATGCACTGGTATTTAAATCCTGTAAGTTTAGGATTTAAACAGGGGAAGGTCTAGCTGGCAGCCCTCGATCTCAGCCCTGTAGTGCTGTATATTGACACCGTCCGTTCAGTTCCTGTCCTTCAGGATTCTGGAACCATTGTAATTGCCAAGGCCAGAATGTCAAACATACAGCCCCTGGGCCAGATTCAGCCCCTGAGGATGTCTCACAGGCTGGATTTGGCCCACAGGGCTCATCACAGCAGCAGCCGGAGCCTCTGCAGCAGCATTGTTAATCCCTGCGACAGCCGGAGCCACTGTTTTGGTGCGGGTCTGGAACCCAGAGAATTTCACAGGTTTCACAGACATTAGGGCTGGAAGAGACCTCGCAAGATCATCGGGTCCAGCCCCCTGCCCAAGGGGCAAGAAGGCAGCTGGGGTCAAAGGACCCCAGCAAGATAGGCATCCAAGTGTTCCTTGAAAGTGTCCAGAGTAGGTGCTTGCACCACCTCTGGGGGGAGTTTATACCAGGCCCTGGGGACTTGGACAGTAAAGAAGTTTTTGCTTATGTCCAGCCTAAAACGGTCTTCCAGCAGCTTGTGACTGTTGGACCTTGTCTTCCCTTGGGGTGCCCCAGTGAACAGACTTTCTCCCCAGTTCCTGATGCTCACCCCTTATGTACTTATAGGCTGCCACCAAGTCACCCCTGAGCTTATGCTTTTCCCGGCTGAAGAGTGCCATGGCTCTCATTAATGCCGCTCACATCCCCTGACCCTGTTCCTGCCCTGGATGCGGATTTTAGTCGCAGGTTAAGGGGAAGGGGGGAAGGTAAGCAGCAGAGGCATTAACTCCCTTGGTTCCAGAGCCGCATCGAAACAGCAGCTCCGGCAGCCACAGGTATTAATGCCATTGCCTCTGCTCGCACATCTGGAAGCTCCGTGGTCTGGATCTGGTCCATGGGGCCCAACGAGTCTTGATACCCTTGGCCTATTTTGACCTTTGCCATAGCACAGGGCAGAGAGAATTGTGCCTGCTTCAGGCCCATAGCTATTGTCGCGTCTACTGCCTGCATTTCCTTGGGATTTGAACTTGGGACCACCGGCCTCTTGGCAGGAAGCCTGCCAGTAGGCCAGCTTCCTGTCTGCACTTAGGAGCCTGAGGTGGGTTTTTTTTGCCAAGTAGCTATTAAGTGGCAATTACCTCCAGTCTCTGGGCCAAGATTTTTAAAAGTGACCAACACTTTTCAGGGCCCAACTTGAAACAGTGTCAAGAGCCTCGCGTTTGAGAAGGCAAGTGACAACCCCTTCTGATGTTCAGGCCCTTTGAAAGCACCCAGGAATCACTAGTCACTTCTGAAAATCTGGGCTAGATTTAAACTTTCAGCTGGTGGCATCAGGGTATGTAGCTTGTAAAACCTGGCATGGTGCATTTCCCCATCTCTCCCAAGCTGGCTCTCTCGCCCCCACTCATCCTTTCACCACTAAACCACTCAAGCACCGTTCAGGTGACTATTAACTGAATGTCCCTATCCTGGGATGGTGAATAGGCCAATGTGGAAGGAGTTATGGGGGATGAGCCTGGTTCCTAGTAGACTACAGGATGGAAATGACCACAGATGGAGCTGTGCCATGGACTGAATGGGCCTCGGAGACCGAAATCGTATCCCTCCATGTATTCCTGATGGACTGAACGTCAGAATGGAACGAGAGATGATCTGGACCAAGTTGCCTGGTTGAGTCAGGAGGGAAGTAGGAGGACTGCCTAGATGGGCTGTTTAGCCTGATTTAGTGTGGCAGGAGATCAGATAGTAGAGTGAGGGGACTGTTTGGCCCAGTGCAGTGAGGTGGGGTGCCAGATCCTTGGGAGGGGCAGTTTCAACATGCGTTTGGTCCATGTAGGCACAACAATGATGCTCAGAGCTGCTTCCTGTCAGCAGCCCCAGATCAGTGCTTGACGACATGTTCTTTGCCTCCTGCAGTGACCTGCAACTATGGGAATGGCGGTTGCCAGCACACCTGTGATGACACGGACCAAGGGCCCAAGTGCGGCTGTCATGTGAAGTTTGTGCTATTTTCTGATGGGAAAACGTGCATAGGTAGGTGAGAGCCAGCCCAACCCCTGGGGCACTTGCTGGGGCTTGGTCTTGGTGCTCCTGTTGTAGGACTGTCTGTTTTGTGAGACTGCTGTGCCTGATGCGCACTGAATGCTCCTCCTCCCCCAGTTGTAGCCCTCAGGGGCTGAGGTTCCCGTCATGTAGTGAGGATGAGTGCTGCTGTGAACAGCTTTACAGAGAAGGCAGAGAATAAGCCTAACAGCTGGCTCAGGGACAGACTGAGGGCAGGGAGCCTCAGGTGAGCTTTTCCCAGGTACTCCTGCATGCATGAGATGCGCCCAGAGGTATGCCACGGTAGCTGCCCCAGATCACTTTCAGCGGCTGCTCTCAAGACCTCATTTTCCAGCGTGCTTGAGAGAATCCACTGGAGATGACCCCACATGTGGAGTGTGTGAGTGGAAGTGGGTGGCTGGGGTGTACTCGGGGCCAGCCTAGGTAGCAGATGCTGCCAGTGCACCACAGACATACCCTGAAAGTACTAGCTTCTGGGATGGGGTGGAGTTTCCCTCCACGGGAAATCCAGACTAAAGAGTAACAGAGGGGTTTATAGATTATAATAGCCTATGCGTATGTGAGTGATTACTGTCCTGTACTGGACGGATTCAGAAGTGCTCAGCTATATGTCATAAGTGCTGTAATTGCTGGAAGCTAATTGAGAGCCACCTTCAGCGAAAAAAGGATCAGTAGAAAGTGGGTGCTGGAGCTGAGGCTGTTTGGGGTAATACAGCAAGTCTAGTTTTTTGTACATGGTTATGAAGGAGGCTAAATCTAGGTTGATTACATGATGGGATAGCACAACTGTATGCATTATTTAAAGCATAATTGTAGACAGCTGTGAGGGGTCCTCTGTTTCCAGGCTGTTGTACACATGCTTGCTTGTACTTGCACTCCCTCTACTCACACTCATGTACCCACACTTAGGAGCTTCCATTAAAGCAAGTGCCTTCTTCCACGCTGGGGAGGGTTCACTGGACAGAGAGTTTCAGTGCTTTGCATAACATCTGATGCTTTGCTCTAGGCTAGCTCTTATCTTCCCTTGTGTTTATTACCCCTGAACTCTGGAGAGGGATAGTGGGGGGTAAGACTTGGACATAACAGTCTGTTCCAAGCTGGATCTAGGCACCATGAGGCCTCAGCCCAAAAACAATTGTCTTGCAGAAATGAAAAGAAAATACAGCCCTCCTCTCCTCTAAATCATGTCTTTGCTGTGTGTGTTTTCAAATTATAAAACATCAAACAGAGATAGAAGTTTTACTGGTTTCATATGCTTGCGCAGCCTTGCAGCTGATTTGATTTAAAAAACATTGCGTTGGGGAAGTGATTAAGGCCACAAATTGCTGTAAACATTTTAGCTCTTACTGCAAAATAAAAAGGGAATTAAAAGCAATGGAGGGGTTGGAGTCCCCGTGGTGCATGCCCAGGGAATGTTCTGCTTTCCGAGTGATGGCCTCAGCCTCCCATGCAAATGGTGGAAAAGCCCCTCCAGTCCCGGTGCCCAGACCGTGGGCTTGTTGCCTGTCATGCACAAGTGATCTGAGTCCATGTGTGAATGCCCTAATAGTGGAGCTCCTGCTTTATCCCCAGGGAGACCATTCCCTGCCCCAGGTATCTTGCTGCCAAGATTTTCCTGGTATTCAGCCCAAGTTTCTCTGCTTTTTAATGGCATCATGCTATACCTGATTCTGCCCCTTTTCACCTCTCTAATGAATCCCATTCCCTTCTTGGTGTTTACTCGTATTAGTGGCCTTGATAGCCTGTCCCCCCTTAGACTTCAGAGAGGGGGACCAGGCTATTTCTCTTAACATCTCCATCTAATCAAGCTCCCTAACCCAGGTGGATGTGTGGTATTGAAAATGCTGTGTTCTTTTCCTGAACTCCCTGCAGTTCAGCAATTCTCTTTCTGGGACATGTGTTTTTGGAACTGAGTGTACTATGCCCCTTCCTCAGGCACCAGAGCCATGTAGCTCCTGACTGTAGAAGTCAACGGCAGAACTCCCATTGCCTCCAGTGGGAGCTCTGTTCAGAAGGGCTAGTACCTTCCTGCTTTTTTCCTTTGCAACCTCAAGCATTTTTGCTGTTGCCATATTGTACCATAAATGCCTGGCTGAGTTACTGCTCACTTTCACCTGTACATCTTTTTCAACCCTGCTGCTTCTCAGATCCCCTTAGAGATCGGTGCTTGACATTATTGCCCCAGAGATACCCTCTTACATTCCTCCAAGGTAAATCTCATTGGTTTTGCATTGTTTTTATCATGTTTCCAGTCCCTCTGGTTCCCTTTGTCTTTCTCATTCCTTCCGTGTGTTTTCAGCTCCTCCCGTCCTCGCCGAGCTATTGGTGTAAAAAAAAAAAATATAATGCTTAATTTTCATGAAGGTATTAAACAAGGGTTGGACTTGTCTCTGCCCCAAAGAGCTCAACTTACTCGTTTAGCTGAGTGGGTGCATGGTTGGGGTTTCAGGGTGGTACTGCAGTTATGAATAACAGTGATTCCTGGAGAGCTTCCTCATCCTCTTTATTACACTTTGTCCACGGTCCTTTTTAATGTCACACAACAGAGTCCGTGTCCTCATTTTGAGAGACGCTGTCCCAGTATGGTCCAAACAGGTATCTCCACATTCTAGTAACCTATGAGTTGCATTACTCTATCCATAAAAGTAATTGCCTAGCCAGACCTAGACTATACAAACCTTTGCTGCTTATTGCTCCAATATTCATTTATTTCCCAAAGCTTAACGTTTTTCCCTTTACTAACTTTTTTCTAGGAATAAAATGTAGACCAGCGGGGCAGTAATGACCAGTTCCACTCCTTACTTTTCTCTAAAGATGGGTACTATAGTTGCTTTTCTCAACTCTCAGAGCAACTCCTCGGTTTCCTGCCAAAAAAATAATAGCCAGTAGCACAGTAAATTTGGTTACAAATTCCCACAGGACTTTATCTTTCTCCCACCAAAGTCAGGAAGGTGCTTAGCTGTGGGTGTCACTGAGCATAGGACTTGAAGCCAAATTTACAGAGATTTAGGCAAGATGTAGAGATTTATAAAAGGACCTAAACAAGTTAGATGCCTAACTCCCAAAGGCTTTTATAGCAGTTGGCCATGAGATCTGCTTAAATACTCTTTTGTGAATCTGACCCTGGTCCTTAGGAACTGTAATGGCTCATTGAAATGTGTTCCATTTTTTTCAACATATTCCCCAATATTTTCCTGGCATTTCACTCTGGAAGGAGCAGTGTTCAGGTCAGGCAGGGCTCTGCTCCTTCTTGTTGGCCTCGCACTGCTTCCCTAACCAGGCAGTCTGCTTCTACATTTGCTCCGTAAACTCTAGCCCCTCAGCAAGCCTTTCCCTGTTTGATTCCCTGTGTCCCTTTTACCTTTCCGCTCGCCCAGTGCCACAGATGAAGTGACATGTGGTGAGGAAGAAATCTAACAGTATCCAAATCCAGCCATGCAGCTGGTGCCTCCCTCGGGACTGGTGCCCTAGCTCTGTGTCCTACGTCTCCCATCCTCTGCCTTCCTGCCTCAGAAGTGGGCATTACAGCCGTGGCACCTCTTCAGACTGGACCAGCTTCCTCATAGGACCTCGGTGTTATCGGTGAAGGCTTTCTCTGTCTCGCATTCGGAGGGAGCCGTATCCTGCCCTCCCTTACATGTGGCATTGCAGTTGAGCGCCCTTGGAAGGCGAGCTTTGGCCTGCTCCAGTTGACAGCACGTGAACGCGCCCGAGTCCCACCGTTGCGCCTGCCTCCATTGGAAACAGTGCAGAATTGTGCTGCCGTCGGTTAGCAGGCAGCCGATCACGCCTTCCCCGCGGGGATGCTCGGCCGACAGATTTATAGCCAGGCAGGAGGCTAAGGTACCTGCTTGGATATTTATAACTGCCCTTTTTTGTTTTACAGCCGGGTCTCAGCAAACAGCCTTCCCTGCTTCCCCCCTTCTCCCTCCCTAGTCCTACCCCCCTCCCATCTCCATTTCCTCTGAAATATTTCATCATTTCAAGGGGAATAAAGTTTCCAGCAAGGGGAACGCAAACCCACTCCCCAGGCCGCAGGCTTTGAAATTGAATGCGGTGCGTTTGAAGAGCTGCTCTGAGCAGGCCCCTAATCCAGGTCCCCTTCAGATCACACCACCCGGCAGGAAGCGCGACCGGCTCATTTGAATGACAGTTTCATTAGGCCGTGGCCGGTGTTTTTCATTTTTCCGCTTTTTATTGCTGCTTTTAAAAATGCAGATAATGAATAACATGCCTCCAAGCAGAGCAGGGCCAGCCCTAATGACTCCCACCATGTCTCCAGCAGCGGTGGGAGGGGAGGCCGATGACCTTATGTATTTATATTTATTCTTTAAAGCAGGCCTTTAAAAAAAATAAAATAAAATAAAATAAAAAGCCCTCTCAATTAAAGCTCTTTGCAGCACACGGTGTCAGGTCAGCCTCGCAGATGGCAGGATGGGCTTGCTCTGTCCACTGTCAAAGGAAGCAACAGGCCTGGAGTTCTGGCTTCAGCATCTGGACTTGGCGTCTTCCTTTTGTTCTGCTTGAAGAAAATGGGATTGAGGCGCGCTGTCATTAATGGAGCTGTCAGCTTTCCCACTAACTCGCTTCCCCAAGGTGCCTTCACATGCCGTCCAGAGACAGCAGTGCTGTCCTCGTGCCACGATATGCAACGGTCTCTGAGCCGCGGCAGCGCTGCCCTTGTGCCACGGTGTCCCACACCCCCTGTGACTTGGCAGCGCTGCCCCCATGCCCTAGTATAACGAGTTGTTGTTGTTTTTTTCTCCTCAGCTGTTTTTTCTCTGAGCTTTTAGCAAGCCATGGAGTCTGAGGGCATGGCTCTCCTCGGAGCAGCAGTCACCGTCCCCCAGACTGCCCCATCGCTGCCTTGGTGGCCCCAGAGGAGGAGCTGGTCTGTGTGGCCCTGTCAATCCATGTCTTCTCTATGAAGGCTCCCTGGGATGGGAATCTCTTCCTTCCTGCCTCATTAG